GCCCTATAGCAAAAACCTCTCCAAAAAAAAAAAAATGTGTGTGCGTGTCCATATATGCATCAGTATCACCTATGGGACATGTTCCCACCCTTCTCTTATTTCCCTGCAGTAGGAGCACTAATGTAACTCAAGTCCCCATTATACTTCACTAGCAATATTTTTATAAGTTAATTATCTTCCTGCCTCTAATTTCTCTCCATTCTATCAACCAGCACACAACCTTTAATCATCCTAAATGACAATTCTACTAATTTGTTTCTAGATTCTTTAATGATTCTATTATTTTAAAGTTATTTCCAAATTTTTAAATGCTATTAATGAAATACATATTTAGGGGCCAGCAGGTGGCACAGAGGTTAAGACACTGGATCCTACATGACCAATTGTGCCATTTCAGTACCGGACCCAGTGGCTTGAAAATTTCTCTGTGTGTGTGTGTGTGTGTGTTTCTTGCAAGTGCACAAATCCTATGGCCAAAATAAATAAATACATATTTACACATACACACGCATGATACCAAAGCAATTCATTAAAAAAAGATAAAATTAATTTTGTGTAGTTATAGTCATATATATATCAGACTTCTTTTACGGTTTTAGATTATTTTTTTTCCATATATTTCATGTGGATAAGTGATTTTATAAGATTCTATGATGGGGCCATCACTCCTTAATGCTTCAAGGAATACAAAAGAATCGTAGATAAGCACCACTACACAAACACTTATGATCTTCCCAGAGGTTGTTTTAGAATATTACTGAACCTAGTCAGCCAAAACTTCCGGGGCTAGATGTGAAATAAGGGAATGAGTGACTATGGCAAGTAAATTCCTGGCCTGCTCAAGCTTAGCAACAATGGTTCAACCTATGGAAACCCAAGAAGTACTTACAACCATTGACTGCTATAAGGACAGACAGGTCTTGTCATATAAATTACTTAGTCCAACCTTTCTTGACTTATCCATCAGGAAACTGAGATCCAACTTAATCAACTGACTTATCTGCTACAGGGGTAATAGTCGAGGGGCCAGAAGACTTGGTCTGATTTCCAGCTTTTCACTTACTACTTACATGACCTCGGGGACATCAAGTTTCACCCTTCTGACCTTTAAAACGGAAATAATTATCATTCTTTCTTATATTAAAGCATTCAGATAAGAATCAATGTGAGTGAGAGACTAGTGCTGAACATAAAATGTGAAGGGTGTGTTGAGCTGTAAAGTGAAATATTGTTCTTCTGGGAGGTAGCATAATACAGTGATTAAGATCTACGGTCTTAAAGTCATCAATAGACCCGAGTTCAAACTCAGTTCTGCCACCGACTAGCTTTGTGACTTTGGAAAAAATTACTCTGAGACATTTTCCTCATCTATAAAAATGGAGAAGCGGTGTTAAGGATTAAGTAAAATATTTTATGTAAAACAAAGTGCCTCATATATAGAGAGCCCTCAGTAATTAGCAACTATAAAGTTTGTTATTGTTAACATTATTCTTTTGCATGAATTAATAAATAGTGTCAGAACTCAAGCTCAGACAGCCTGCTACGAGCTCTTCCACCCACAAAAATTTCAAACACCAGGAAATCTGGTAGTGGGAGCAGAATTGTCTTCCTCACATGAATCATCCAAGATCTTCTCACCTCCTTATTTCTCACCTTCAATCCAACAGCGAGTCTTAGTCTCTCCCCTGAAATGTAACCTAAATCTGGCCATGTCCCTCAATCTGCTTTGTTATGCTCCTGGTCTACACACCATTAGCTCAGGCCCCAATACTCTAAGAGCCTCTTGTCTCCCTGCTTCCTCTCCTGTCTCACAAGTCCATTTTCTTTAAAACAGTAAAGTGCTCTTTCCGAAACATTAAGTGCTATCATTCCCCTGCTTACAATTCCACAATAGGAATTTAGAGATAAATTCCTTACCATGGTGATTATAACTCCACATGACTTAGCCTCTGTATACTGTTTCAACTGCTTTTTCTTTATACTCTGCCCCTTGATCATTTTGCTAGAAATGTGTGTGCTCTAAAAGGCCAGACTTAGGGGGTTAGCTCCATGGCCTAGTGGTTAAGGGAGCTGGATCCCACATGGCTGACCACGTGATTCAAATCCCAGCCCTGATGCCCTGAAAAACATGCTGTGTATGTGTATATGTGTGCAAATGTCAAAATCCCAACATGATGGAGAAATGGAGATGCCTTTAACCAGTTTAATAATTTTTTTATTCCTCTATATCCAGGCAGAATTAGTAATTGTTCTATAAATGGTAGAGGAATGAAGGGATTGTGGTATGACTATGTTTCATTGGAGAGTACTTTCTCCCTCTTCTTTTATCTCTGTCTCTCTGTCTCTGGCATACACATGCACCTGTGGCAAATATTGATAAAAATAATGTTTAAAGTACCAAAACTTTCTTCTACCCCAAGGCCTTTGCATTTATTCTTCTCTTTATTTAAAATTCCTGTTCTGCTTTCAAATGACTGGTTTCTCCTCATTACTGAATTTTCTCAAAAGAGGTTTCCCTGGTCATTCTATTGCTTTATAATTCATTGTACTTTTTCTTCATTCCTTCCTTTTTTTTTTCTTTTTAAGCACCCATCAGAATCTACAATTACCTTACTTATATTTGTATAAGTTATTACCTGTCTCTCACCATAAGAATGTATATTCCTTGAAGTCAGGATTTTTGTTGTCCTTGTTCAGCTCCTTGCTGCTCTGTGTTGCTCCTTCCTAAAATTTACAGGTTCACAGTATGCAATTAGTAAGGATATTTAGATTGAATTAGAAATGAATAATGAAATCTACAGAGATTTCTACATGGTACATTAAAAATATTGTATTCAAATGATTGAAAAGGTTATACACTGGTGGCATTGGGCAAGGAAGCACAGTGGCTCACTTCACAAATGTCAGTGGACATTTTCTACCCTACTAAGCCATGTTGTGCATTGAAGATAAGCTACAAGAAAAAAAAAAATAGGAGAAAACTTTTCAAAGCATTTTTAATTTTTTAATTATAATACTCCAGGTGCTTTGTAACCTGTATTTGTTGTTTACTCAAAGAATACCATATAGGTGTCTAAAAATGTGCCTAACCTTGCTCAGACAACTTTAAATATATCAGTTTAGAACATTTTTTTCCTCTCGTGGTGGCTGACGGTCTTTTTGTGGTTGAGCAGTAGAGTTAGTTAGGAAGATAGACGGAAGGGGTAGTCACAATGAGTGCACAGAGTTGAGATTATGGCATGGTCACAGTTTTCGATCAAGGGCATGGGTTGTCAAACTTTGTAAAGTATCCGATAGTACATAGGTTTTGCAGGTCCCTCTCTGTTCCAATTACTCAACCATGTCATTATAATGAAAAAATCACCATAAACAACATATAACAAATGGTATGCCTGTGTTCCAATAAAACTTTATAACAACAGGGCTGGACATTACCTGGCCATTATTGGAAACCTGGATGGAGTACCAAGCACAGGCTGTGACTATCGGCATGAGTGAAATAGAAACTAAGGTAGAATAGAGGAAGATGACACTGAAGAAGAAGCTGAAACACTGAGCAGCCCAGACTTGGAATGATAGAAAGTTTGAAGGATGGTCTATGTGTATGCTCAAAATTTCATGAATTAGGACAGAGGTAGTACTGGAGAGTGTGGCCATGAGAGAGGAGCTGACAAGTTTGAGAGATGGAGTGAAACATCTAGATATTGGCAGATAACAGGATGAGAAAAAGGAAAGAGATGGTTTGATCTGTTGACAGGAGATTTGAAGCAGAAGTGTCTTAGGATAAGCAAGGAATCATGATCTGAAAGTGACAATGGCAAACCTCCACTTTCTGGGATTGTGCTACTTCTCCACATGTGCCAAATACCTTCTTACCAAACACAATAAACATATTTTAACTGTGTAAGAACAACTGGAGGGAGGAAAAAATGCCAGCAATGAGTCCCCAGTACCAGGTGCATTAGGAAGTAGTTATGACTCTATTTTGTAGATTCTGCATTTGCTGTCAAGAGGTATCTTTGCAAACACCAACCAGCTACTACCTGGAGGCACATTTTTAGCTCTCATTGGCAAGAAGATCAGCTTTCACATACACTTTGAATATTTTCTATTGTGTCTTTATAGCAAAATGGGAATTTTAGAATAGTGACAGAGTTGTTGATAATATCTATACCATCATGGGCTAGAAGAGCAATCTTTGAGCCTAAAAAGATCGAGCTGATGATCACTGAGGTTGAAAAAGATCAGAACATCCAAATAGATACCTGAAAATGGAGATCTGAAGATTTGAAAGGCTTTGTCCTATGAAAGGAAACTAGAGCCTTTCAAAAATGACTAAAATGACACCAAAGAGAGATTAACCAGCAGGCAGAGAGCTGGCAAAGTATGTTCATGAATTATATACTGTACCAGAAGTTCTAGCAAGAGAAAAGCATAGGATTAATAATTCACTAGCAGAGTAATAATGGGTTTGCTCATTCTGCTTTTTCTTAGCAAAAGAAATAGACCTACTCACTCTTTCTGTCTGTTGTTTATCTCCTCTTGTTTATAGATAGGAAAGTTCATAAGCCAAATCCCTTTTATAATGGTGAATCATTTCTTCTCAAAGTCTCTTCTGCATTACCCTCATCCTCCCATTAGGATCTTCCTGAAAATACTCAAAGGCTGCTGCCGGTGATTAGTACTATGCAAAAGAGTGGAGGGGCCTTGCTACCATTATTTGAAGCTCTTCTCCACAGTATTTTATTCATCGCCACTATTACCTTCATCTCCACTCAGTATTTGTGGAATTAAGTACCTGCTTAGTTTACCCTTTGTAGTATAGTTCACCCTTTCTGCTCTCTGCCCTTCCAGAGTTTAAAGTCCAGGAAAGATACATTGATACCTATTCTTAACCCTCAGCCCCAGCATTCAGCACCTTTCCTGGAACAAAAACAGGGAGTCTTTTAAACGTTTATTGAATGAGTAAATAAAAACACATTCAGGCCACATGGTAGCACAGCACAGTGGTAACACAAGTGGCTCCAAGTGAAAGGACTCCTGGTTCACGTCCTGGGATCCTCCTGCACAGGTGAGGCCCTAGCAGAACCACATGCCCATGATCTGGCCTGGCTGAGGCTGGGGGTGGATCACAGCACAGGGAGTTAGGAGTGTCTATTTCTTTCTCTCTTTTTCTCTGACTCTCTTTCTCATGGAAGAAATAAATCAGTAAATGTGAAAAAAAAAGGAGACACAAAAAGTACAATATTAAATTAACGCAAAAATGAATGTTTAGTACATTTACATGATGTATTCATATGTTCATTTAAAAGTGCTGGGCACATACAGAGTTTAACTAAGGTTAAGTACAAGGAAACAAGAGGAGAAATATTCCTGAAATGGAAGTGAAGAGAACGATAAGACTTCTTCTTCTTCTAGAAAAGGACAATATAGTGTTTACAGTATATCTATTTTCTATTACTCCCTTTTTACTTAAATGACCTTTAATATTCATTTACAATCCCATTGCAGGAAAGTATGCAAAACACAAAAAGTAAGAAGAAAAGGAGTAGAAGAAAATCCAACAACTCAACCACTCAGTTAAGATTTAATGTTAATATAGTTCCTTACAAATTTGTTACCACATATATGCAATAGTAAGATTAGTGTAATAAACTCATGTGTACCCATCTTCCATTTTCAACAGTCTTAAACTAATGTCAAGCTTGTTTCATCTCTGCCCTCGTTCACATACCCGATTCTTCCCTATTGTATAAATTTGAAGCAAATTCTAGATATCATATTATAATAGGTAGCAAATATTTGAACATGTGTCCCTTGTAAGTTTGTCATGCATATTTTAATAGTTAAGCTAATGCTGTATATAAAAATCCATAAATATATATATATACACATAAAAATATGTGCATGTGTATGTGTGTGTATATATATGTATACATATGTATGTATATATACATATTTTTATCTACTTCTGATTTCAAAAACTTATTTTTAATTTAAATTTTAAATTTGTAAAATTTGACAGAGGACACGAGCTCACTGGAGAGAGTTAGAGACAGAGAAAAAGAGAGAAAACAATTACCTTGGGGAATGGTCATGCTGCAATCCCTTCTCCTCTATTTCACCCTCCTTTCAGGACATTGGCCATGTACGCACTCATACCCAGCGTGTTTTTCAAGTCACTGGGTGTGGGATTTGAACCACACAGTTGACCATGTGGGATACAGTCACTTTAACCACCATGCTTCTGGCTACCCTAATTGAAGTTTAAAAAATAATAATAGTTTCTTCATAATTTTCTTGCAATATATTGCCATCATCATTACTAGTACTTCCAACAATAGCTTGGGAAGAAAAGACAACCATTTCAGACACCCTCAACGGTCAAGCTATTATACCTCTTTAGGTACCCTCTCCTTAAATGAGACAAAGCATATAAATGGCTTTGTGCAGTGCCTTCCAAATCAGAAGCAATTTGATTTGGTAAGGTGAATATTGTTAGAAAGTAGCTAATCTTTATTCAGTACCTCCAAGTCAGCTTTGTGCTAAGCACTTTACATACATTATATAGCAGGTAAATGTCACACCTGTGCAAATAACTATTGATATTATTCCTATTTCATAGAGGAAGGCATTGAGGCTTGGAGCATTTAATTAACTTGCCTAAAGTTACAGAGACAGCAAATGACTGTCGTGAGATTTTAGTGCGATCTTGTATAATTCCAGAGCCCATGTTCTTAATAGCCATGAAAATTCTGCATGATAAATTCTCATTTTCCATAAGATACTTAATGATTTACATAGAATCATGAAACTATTGATCTCACTGATACTATATTATGATATATCATATCATGATATTGTGATAATATCTAGCACAGCCTCATCTCAATCCAAAATTCATCAGAAATATTCATACTAGAGCGAAATATGGGTGGATATATTCACACACTCAACCACCAAGTAATCAAATTCTCCTCATAGCTCTATAAGAGTATACTTGATCACATTTTATTCATTGAAGACATTTATAAAGTGTATCATAATATATCTTAATACAGTAATCTTAACGAAGTTCAACCATGTCAGTGCACTTCCTTTGATATATGATCAATGTTAATTTGAACAGGGTATATGAAAGTGTTTTAGGGAGAATGTTCTATCTGACCTTCTCTTTTCTCTCAGTTTCTGTAATATCATACAGATCAGTCCCAAGCACCATCAGAGGAGCCTCCATGAGTTTTCTGACACTGTTCAATGGACTTGGTTGTTTCACCGGGGCACTGCTGGTAGAGTTGGTTTATCTCATCTCAGAAGGTAAAAATAGGTTCATGGTATGCTTGTGTACATTGATTCAATGAGTGAGGAACTGGGAGACAAAACCTTAAGAGAGGGGGCTTTGCTGGTGTAGTCTTTTTTTTTTTAATTGATCCACTTTTGCAATTAAGATAGAATTAAGATAGGAAATAGAGTCTTGCTGTATTCATTAATTTCTGGGAATTGTTTTTCTTTTGATAGGAGCAGGTAATTACAGAATGTCACTTCTCATGAGCCCCTGTCTGCTGTCTTTCCTTAGTGTATTTTAAAGCAAACTGGCCATTACATTCTTATGAGAGCTTTCAATGAGGCTGTATTCAATAATGTCTCATAGCTAGAAAGGACAATTCTCAGCAAAGACCTGTGAAAATATAGCTTAGAGTTTATAGGGGCAGTGATCTTCAGTTTTCCTGATGATTTACCACAGGTCTTACCTATTGCAACCAAAGAAAAATTGTGAGTTGAATAACAAATGATCTTGGAAAATTTTCTCAGTAAAGATTTTAGGCAAGAGAAGCAACCAGTCTGAGAAATTCAGATGCAAATGTTGAAGAACTATTGCTTAGTTACACATGTTGGCAAAATAACCAGGCAGATGACAATAACAATGAACTCTCACAGTGAAATGCCTTTGGCTGTTTTTGCTGTTATTGTTGTTTTGTTTTTAATTTGCTAGCACTCCCTGGAAAGAGATAGAAAGAGAGAGAGAAGGAAAGTGAGAAAGCCCTACTTCGTCACTACATTTAAGATGGCCATGCCACAATCACTCTTCCTCCATTGCTCTATTCTACTTTTGGACTGTTGGGCATGCAAGTACATGTGCCTGGCCACCAGGTTCAGGACTTGAGCTGTGTGCTCAGCCATGTGGAATCCAGCCACCTTAACCACCATGCCACCAGCTAGCCATCCTTGGCTTTATTTTAAATCCACAGACTTTTTTCTTTATTTGTTTTAAAATGTCGATATGCCTTAAATTTTATTTTAACTTACTTTTGCTTATTTTATTAAAAATATCAGAAGATTAATATTCTCCATTTCCATAAGTGCTTATAGTTATCAGCTTAGGGGCCAGCAGGTGGCACACGTGGTCAACTGTGATTCAAGTCCCAGACCCTGTGGCTTGAAAATCATGCTAGGTACATGTGCATGTATACCCAAAATTCATTTTCCGGAAGAATGGAGGAGAAGGGATTGCAGCGTAGCTATCTGCCCTACGGGTGATTTCTCACTTTTACTCTCAGTCTCTCTCTGTCTCTCTCCATCTGTCTCTGTCTCTCTCCAGTACATACACTGTATGATAAAAACCTTAGGGGAAAAAAATATCAGCATGTGTTCTTTTAAAATTTACCTACTTTTGAACTACAGAAAAATTACCGTTTAAGAAAGAAAAGACTTCTCTTAACACATAAGTCTCCATTCAAATAAATATTTATCAAAGAAAACTCTCTGCTCCAGGCATCATTTTGGGCACTGAGGAGACCATGGCAAGCAAAATAAACATTTCCAGGAATCGTGAAATTTTCAGGGAAACAGAAAAGCAATAAAATTAAGAGTGATAAATATAAATCTAATAGATTTTTTTTTTTTGGAGAGGTTTTTGCTATAGGGCACGTGCGCTCGCCAGACAGACAGAGAGAGACAGAGAGATAGAAAGCAGGAAATCACCCCCCAGGGGGGATGGCCACGCCGCAATCCCTTCTCCTCCATTCTCCTCTCGGGATCTTGGGCACGCACGCACACACGCCCGGCGTGAGTTTAAGCCACCAGGTCCGGGACTCGAACCACGGTCAACTACGTGGGAGTCCAGCGACATAGCCATTACGCTAACTGCTGGTCCCTCTAATAGATTTTCAGGGAAAAATATCTATTAATCTTTGATTGTTGGTTGACAAAAATCAACCCTAGCATGTTCTTCATTATCTGTGAAAGCTAAGGAGAACATATATTGTGTATTAACTATGCGTGCCATGTCCTGTGAGATATGGTTCCAACTCCCAAAGAACTCATCCAAACTGCCATAGCTAACTAGGTGAACCGCGGCAAGGTGCTGACTTCTCTGGTGATCAGATTCCTTGTATGAAATGAGAGACAATGCCTCAGCATTAATGTTTTCTAAGATAACCTGGAACTTTTGACCAACATTTGTACCTAAAACACTAGGTGTTGAACCTGTTTCCTTCCTTCATATTACTCAATGAAAACGTTATTGAAAATTTGCTGGGAAAAAAGTCTATAATCAAATCACATATGACATATAGTAGGAAAACTGCAAAGTCAAATATTACTGCCAGTATATCTTTTATATAAATCTAAATTTGTCTATAAAGGTTTAAGCAACTTACTCAGAACACTTTATAGGTTAAGTTTTCCCTTAGCCTTCATTCACTTTGGATACCAACCCCAAGTGTGGAGATTCAAAAGTCTTACAAACTGGCTATAAATTTGGGGTCCCCACAGACTCTTTTTTGTTTGATAATTTGCTAGAATGATTCATAGAAACCAAGAAATCACAATAATTAGTGTTACAGCTTTTTTTTATGAGAAAGGAATAAAAATCAGAATAAGCTGAAGGAGGGGCAATGAGGAAGGTCTGGGAGAGTTCTAATAGAGAAGCTTCCTCCATCCTCAGATGCAATATGAGTGGCAATATGAAGGGTACTGCCAACCAGCGAAGTTCGCCTGCGCTTAGGTGTCCAGTGTTTTCACTGAGGCTTTATCACATGGGTACAGTAGATGAAATCATGATCGTGTAGTTTAACTCGTTCGGCAACTTTCCTCCTCTCCCTAGAAATTAGGCTGATATGATGTGACTCAAAACTCCCAACTTTCAAATGACATGGTGGATCTTTCTGGCTGGTGTCCCGATTTCTAAGTCATCTTATCCATATAAACGATCAGGTCGAGTCTGGAGAGCCCACCATAAATACAAAGACACTCCAAACACTCAGATGGTTCAAAGGATCTAGTGTTTCACTCCTAGGAACCAGGATAGGCAAATTCTTTAGTATACATGATTCTTCTTTTTTTCTTATCTGTCTTTTTACATTTACAAAATTGTATTTTTTTCCTATAAAAGTGTTTTACTTTTTATGTAAAAAATTTGGATTGACATAAGGAAAATGTTATAAAAGATGGCCCAGGGACAGCAGTTAGTGTAATGGCTATGTTGCTGGACTCCCATGTAGCTGACCATGGTTCAAGTCTCAGACCCTGTGGCTTAAACTCACACTGGGTGCATGTGTGTGCATGCCCAAGATCCTGAGAGGAGAATGGAGAAGGGATTGCAGTGTGGCCATCCTCCCTGGGGGGGGTTTATTTTATTTTATTTTATTTATTTTTAAGTTTGCTATAGGGCACATGTGCTCATCAGAGAGGGACAGAGAGAGAAGAAAGCAAGAAGGCAAGCCACCAGATTCAGGACTTGAACTGCAGGTGGCCTTGTGGGAGTCCAGCACCTTAACTACCACACCATCTGCTGGCCCCCCTGCCCATTGTGTCTTTAAAACAATTTTTTTTTCATGCTGGTTTATTTTCTTGCAAGTTTCTCTGTTCTTTATACATAATTGTAGTTATAATATCCATACCATTTATATTCTGCCTCTTACAGACTAGTATATCATAAATATTTTCCATGATTTTACCTAGTCTGGAATAAATATAACTTTTAGTGATTTCAGTGAAATACACTGATTTGATGTTCCAAAGTCTTATTTTTGATGAAGGTTTTTCATTATACACTCAGAAAAGGACACAAATCACAATTGTACAACTTAATGAATTTTTACAAAGTGAACACACTTATGTAGCCACCTCAAAAACCAAGAAATACAGTATTATCGGTTCCTTCCCAGTCCCTATCTTCTCCTTCTTAGGAATTATTATGACTGCTAACACTATGGATTCATTTACTTATTTTTGAAATTGTACCTGTGGAATCATATGGTATATATTATCTTTTTTAAAAAAAGATTTGTTTTGTTTTATTTTGCCATAGGGTGCATGCACATGCCAGAGAGACAAAGACAAACAGAGAGCTGGAAAGTGAGAAATTACCTCTAGGGGAAATGGCCACATGACAGTCTCTTCTCCTCCATTCTCTTCTTGGAATTTTGGGAACACACAACACATGCCCAGTGATTTTCAAGCTACCAGGTCCAGGAATCAAACCACAGTCAGCCATGTGGGAGTCCAGTGTCTTAACCATCACTCCCAATGCTGGCCCTGGTATAAACTCTTTACACAGCTATTCTTGCAAAAACATTTCACTGAACATTTAAATTTTATTAAGATTCCACAATGTTAGAGGAGCTTTTACATGCATTACTGTATTTAACAATCTTTTTTTTTTTTTTTTTGGAGAGTTTTTTGCTATAGGGCGTGTGTGCTCTCCAGAGAAGAGAGACAGAAAGTGAGAAATCACCCCCGCAGGAGGAATGGCCATGCCACAATCCCTTCTCCATTCTCCTCTCAGGATCTTGGGCACGCACGCACATGCACCATGAGTGAGTTTAAGCCACAAACTACGGTCAGCTACATGGGAGTCCAACAGCGTAGCCATTATGCCAACTTCTAGTCCCAGGATCTAACAGTCTTTACTATATGCATCAATCTTTTCAAAGTGCTAATGTTGTTATTCTTTTTTTAATGTAATAGAGAAAATGAGGCAAAATGTTCTAATCATCACAACTAATGTGTGTGAGATATAACCTTCTCAGTATTCTGTAACCAACTCCAAAATAGATTTCAATACTCCAAGCAACTATTAAGAGTCATGATATGCAAGAGCTTTTTTTTTGAGGGGGGGGGTTTCATCAGAGACAAAGAGAGACAGTGAGAGAAAAAGTGAGGTATCACCACCTGGAGGGTGGGCACACTACAATCCCTTCTCCTCCATTCTTCTCTCAAGATTTTGGACATAAACACAAACATGCCTGACATGATTTTCAAGCTGCCAGGTCCAGGATTTAATCCATGGTCAACCATGTGGGAGTCCAGCACCT